GGAATTTATCAAGAATCTCTAAATATATATATATATATATATATATATATATATATATATATATATATATATATATCAAGAATCTCTAAATATATAGTAGAAGCATCAGGCCAGACGGGCCAGCAATATTCAAAGTAAGGATGAATGGTAGAATTATAAATATGTAAAATAGATTCTGGCGAGAAAGTTTCTCTAGCACGACACAGTGAACCAAATTAATGAGCTGCAGACTTAGCAATTGATTGAATATAGCCTTTCCACTTTATGCCATCTGAAAATGTTAGTCAGAGAAGGTGCAATAAGTTATTATACTGTATGTTAGCATAAGCCATGCTGATGAAATGTAAAAAGGATTCTCTCAGATGATTAAAAGAGGACAGTTCGATTTTCAGACGTTAAAATTCAGAAACAACTTCTTGCTCCATTTAACAATAGATTGTATGTCATTTTTTTTTTTTTTTTTACATGAGTTGCCAATCTGATCTTATCGAACCGGTCAGACTCACTTTTACGACAGGAGTAAATGGTTGTGTCGTCAGCATAGATTATTGAATACGGATTGTCTTTCAGCTTTATTGATCTATGCCGAATCGTCCAAGTGTATATTTGGTCTTGATAAGACAGTATTCTTTATATGATTACATAAAAAATAGACACACATACTTTCTATCAGGGCTTCTGTAAGGCCATTCAGTTTCATAGCATTCACTATCTATTCTTTAAAGTAAAGCCGGCAGCAAACGATTTTATGACCGTGCAGAAGCTAACTCTTGCATTCATCAAATTCGGTCAAATGTTTTTCCATAGAAACATTGTAGAATAATGTGGTGGACGGACAGTTGAATACTGGACATTTGCTCCCCGTACAATTGCGTACCTGTATAATTGCGTACCTGTACAATTGCGTACCTCTATAATTGCGTACCTCTATAATTGCGTACCTGTATAATTGCCTACCTCTGATGACTTTTTGAATTTACCTTTTTTTTAAAGAGTTAATATAGAAACTTGCACACGAAAATGTTTAATTACTCTAAACAAACCGAAAGATAGTTACCATAAATAAGAAAGAGAGAAAAATGTCTTTTTTAAAGCAAGAGAAAATTAAGCTAGCAGTTTCAGTTCACTCCTGCAGTGCGTGCCACAGACATTTAATAGATTCTGGATTTTATTGATTATATTTTTATTTTGAATAAATTTGGTATTTTGGCTAAGTTCCGAAAATTAAACACTGGTAGAAAAACATTTGGGAACGAGAAAAATTACAGCTAGCACTATAATAAGAAAAACGACGAAAAAACAAAAACATACTGGTGATGTGTAAAACGATCTTTCAACTCTGGTAATATGTCATTAATTACCTTTAGAAGCTTCAAAAAATTATCAGAGGTACGAAATTATCCAAGAACGCATTTGTCTAGGGACACAAATGTCTAGGGACACAAATGTCTAGGAACGCAAATGTTTAGGGACGCAATTGTTTAGTACATATTGACTGGGACACAAATATCCAGTAGCCAACTGTCCTCGAACCGAATAATTTCTCTCCTATCAGCTCTAGATAATTTAAAATCCCCATTAAAACACTGGGATCAATTATCTCCCCATTAACACGCAGTCCATTCCAGAGAGAAATTATCATTCTGTCGGTATTTGTGTTCTCGATAAATTTCTAGGATGAGGAGTTACTATTATTTAGATCATTTACAGGCGGACAATAGTCCTCGCTTTGTTGTTACTAGCATATTCCACCCGTACATTCTCCGGCCTTCTTTAGGTGTCTGTCTGTTGTGGATTCCGAGATGAAATCCGGTCTCAAATGAATGACAAACGCAGGAATTAAATATAGCAAATAAATGTATTGACGCAATAATACAATTGGTAATACGGTTAGTAGATCCAGAAATGCGGTTAGTAGCAATAATAATATATATACAGTCTGGTAAATTCAGTATCGAAGTATGACTTCCTTCTGAGTCTATGTGCTTGTAACTGTGACTCCTACAAAGCGGTTACCTCACACTCTCACTTCCGATTTCAGGGATTCACCGGCAGTAGAATAAATACCAACTGGTCGAGTTCACTTGTATGAAAAAGGGGTGGATCCCATAACACTGTCGATCCAGTTAGCCTTCATGGAAAGTCGAGCTGAATCCTTTACTTAACCGACATTGATAGACTGTAGTCGTTCCGCTATCAATGTCTAGGGATATCTCGCCTTGTTCAATTTCGGTACTGATCAGATATTGCTCGCTCTAATATTGAACACAATAATAATCCTCAACCAGATGCCTGGTTAGTACTTAGATGAGCGACCGCTTCGAAATGCCAGATGTTGGAAGCTTTGAGGTGCCGATGATAATGGCTCCGAATTGTTAATCATCTCAGAACTAATTTCCTATTCCAGTTGGGTTTGATAAATTCACTCACGGGCAAATAGCTTTGTAGAAGGTATTAATCTACCCCTTCTCCCCCCAACTATGTGTTAATTAGTAAGACGTGTAACACTAATTAATATTATGTAAAAAGAACTTACAATCTAAAATAATTAGTAAGACGTGTAACACTAATTAATATTATGTAAAAAGAACTTACAATCTAAAATACAGGGTGTTCCCCAAAATTTTAAATGCAATTATCTTGAAAACTAGTAAGTCTAGCTCAATGAAATTGAACAGTTCAGATGTTGAACATGATAAGTTTATTATGGGACCAATTTCATAAAATTTCAGCATGTGCACCGCCTGTGACACGGAACTCATCAAGTCGGTAGTTAAGCTCTTTTCAAACACGCTGTAGCATGTGTCCGGTAACATTATCCAGTGCAGAAGTGATTCTCTGCTTGGGTTCATCAATTCTAGCAGGAAGACGGCGGATATAGACCAGTTCCTTCACATATCCCCATAAAAAGAAATCACACGGGAACAGGTACGGTGACCGCGGCGGCCATTTCATCAGAAAACTGTCTTCATCTCCGCAACGCCCAATCCATCTCTCTTGCAGTTTCTCACTGAGATGAACACTTGCCGTCCTCTTCTATTTTGATCTGTTTCTATACATTCTGTGAAAATTTGATTTGATTTCAACAAGAATTGCCAAAATTATTGGCCTGCGAAATGATGACAATTGTTTGGGACACCATGTATTTCCTGGCTTTAAATAAAGGGAAAGGGTTGACAAACCGTAATAAACGAATCAATTAATCGAACAGATCAATGGGTAGGACACGTTGTTAGAATATGTTATAACAGGATTCCCTAACAACTTTTCTACGGGGAACTGAAAAGGTAAAATCGTCCACAATGCAAGCCTAAGAAAAGGTTTAAAGATATTTTGAGGGATAATCCGAATCTATTGCACATGGATGGGTAGCATTGGGAAAAATGACTTTAAATTGTACGAAGTGAAGCCGATTTTATAATATCTTAATATAAAAGATGTATCAGGGGCACCTTGAGGCGGTGTAATAGTTAACAAGCTTGTCTCGCTAGAACATTTACAACTGAGTAGTGAGTTCAATCCTCACTGGTTGCCCCATACTTTTGGCCTTGTGCCACATCTAAGCTATGCTTCGAAAATCACTTGGACACCTCGAGGTGGTGTAATGGTTAACAAGCTTGTCTCGCTAGAACAATTACGACTGAGTAGTGAGTTCGATCCTCACTGGGTGCCCCATGCTTTCGGCCTTCTGACACATCTGGGCTACGCTTGAAAAATCACTATACAAGACGTATCAGAATCCTTACAGAATCGGTCCCGGCCTCAACCGTCATATGTAAACCCACGAGCTAGCTAAACATACTTGACAAAACAAGCCTGTATAAAACAACTTAATTTTCTACATCTCAGTAAGCATTACACGTCACTTGTAGGCTTTAAGAGCCATTGTCGTTCTAACGAGAATGAAAAACATTCATAAATTTCTCCGGGATGGTCATACTCGTTGAAAGAGCCGACGGCCATAATGTTTGTATATATACTCAGGTTAGTGTGCCTTGTTTAACAATCCGTTTTTGCGAAGTATTTATCAGTGTAGTCTGTTCAGAACTTATCCCAGACTAAGTAAACATCTATAAACAGATGCGTGTCTCCTAAGCTCATTGATACATTTGTAAACACGTGCATTAACGCATATATACACAGTATTTAATTTCGTGTTTAACACACGCATAACAGGAATACTTTGATTAATTGATTGGCATATCAATCTTCGGTACACGCTCTTGACTTGAGGCATTATCTCTGCCGATGTTTCTACTATCGATAAAATTTGCCAAGTTTCAAATGAAAGAAAGAGAACAAAAATAAAAATAATTTTTTTGATTTTGAACTTTGTTTATAATTCCTTCTCAACTTTTAGACGAGAAATCTTTCACTCTTACGTTTTAATCTTCAACCTGTCATGAACATTTCTCTGATATTAGAGTTATAAAGATCAACTTTGAAATATTTCGTCTCACCGTCCTCCTACACACCATATCTGCCGCGCTTAATAGAAACTCAGACGAATCTGAAGTAAACCAAAAAAAAAAAACAAAAAAAACAAAGCAAAATGCTGGCCCAACTGTACAAATTTAGTGTTAGGTTTGTTAACATAAGTCCAGATTTTCAAGAGAATATGAAATAAATTATGGAAAATCAAAAAGAAAGCCTTTTATTTGAAATATGCATTAAAGCGATCTTTTTTATTTTCATTTTCTCCTATTGATACATTTTTGCACAGAACAATAGAAAAAATCAGAAGGCATCACTTAGCCAAAATATATGTGGATATAAAAAAGAACTGGAGTCGGTGAAATCTGATCCAAAGACATAAAGTTATATGGATTTGCGCCAATGATGGATCAGAAAAAAAAGATCGTGTAACGGTAAATGGAAGAAACAGCGAGTGATGTAATTGAAAGCAAAAATTTATAAAAGACAAAAAGGATAAAGTGGAAAGTAAGAAAGACGGACAGACAGAGAAGGGAAAAAATTATAAATAAAAAAAAAAGAAACTCTCAGAAAACATGGAAGTGGAAAAAGAAAGAAACGTGAAATGAAATGAAAAGAAATGGTAAAAAGGAAAGAGAATAAGGAAAACGAGAAGCTGAAAGAAAGAAAGAAAGAAAGAAAGAAAGAAAGAATATATAGAAATCAAGAGAAAATAGACAAAAAGAAATTAAGGGGAAGGAATAGAAGAAAAACATAAAAAAGGCAAAGTATAGAAGGGGAAGAAAGAAAAATGCTGAGAATGAAAATGAATGACGGAAAGATGGAAATAAATAAATAGTATGAACAAGAAATAAAGGCAAAAATAGATGGAAAAAAACAAACAAAATATATATATATATATATATATATATATATATATATATATATATATATATATATATATATATATATATAAAGAAAGAAAGAAGGAAATAAATAAAGACGGAAAGAAAGAAAAAAAAAAAAAATATAAAAATGCGTACATACATATACATAAAGAAAGAAAGAAAGAAGGAAATAAATAAAGACGGAAAGAAAGGAAAAAAAGAAAATATATAAATATACGTACATACATACATACATACATACATACATAAAGAAAAGAAAGAAAGAAAGAAAGAAAGAAAGAAAGAAAGAAAGAAAACAAACAAAAACAAATAATAAGAAAGAAAGAAAACGTAAGGAAGGTGAAAGCTAAAAACAAGAAATAAAAAAGAAAGAAAATAGAAAAAAACAGAAAGGATTTGGAAAGAAAAGCCTAAAAAAAAGAAAATACTGAAGGATTGGTGCTAGAACGAGAGACAATTGGAATGTTTCCATTTACTTGAGAGATTAAATAGCCAAAAGCAAACGTCAGATGAGGAATACCAAAAAGTATCCATGGATTGGAAAGTTGGCCAGACCTGTGCCACTCAAATATAAAAGACATCTGTGGAAAAGTGACAGCCATGACAGATTAGATTTACACATAAAACACAACGATATATTTTACTTTATTTTTTTTCATAAATCTATTTACTTCGATTTTTATTTCAAATATATAGGAGTATATCCTACTTGTTCTCTGCTGGCACCACGTATAATACCAACATTGACTATGGAATCAAATCCAAAAGATCAGTTGCAAAAAAGAAAAGTTAATTCTATAAATCTTTCTAGGTTTTCGAATAAGAAAATTATATGTATTGTAGAAACTAATTCTTATACGAGGTTTGCTCTGAAAGTAATGCTTCTTATTTTATCATGTTGACCAACTACATAAGTTGAATGGTAACGACATTGGTTGAATGACAGCCAAAATTTATTTTCACTCTAATATCTTCTCCCAATAACCTCTGTTTTTTTTTTTCGCCCAGTTACAGAGAGCAGTTTGGCAAAATAGCATGTTGCTATTGTGATTCATTGGCAGTCACAATCTTAACAACATAAGATATGCAGATGGCACAGTGCTGATAACACAGAACGAAAACTACAAAAAGCGAGAACAAAGGATTAAACATCAACTGACTTAATGCAGGGTTGTTAGCAAAAGGACTGAACCTAAAGGTAGAATTGCAAATTGGGGGAGGTACCAAAATCAAACAAATGCAGAAAGTTAAATATATGGGAAGTGTTTTAACAGAGAACAGAACGTGTGACACTGAAATCCGAAGGTGTAATGAGATAGCTAAAGATACATTTCAGAAGCTAATCAGAGTACTGAGAAATAGAAAAACATTCTCTAGAAAAGAGTACTAAACTGCTATGTGATATCTGCCCTCCCGTATGTCACTAGACAATCTCCTCAAAGATGAAGAAGAGACTTGAAGCAAGAGGAATGCGGTTCTATAAAAGGATGCTGAGAATACCATAGACCAAACATGACAGGGTGTAATCGATTTCTATTTTTTCAGAGTGTTTGGATGTCAATCTGAGGACAGTGCAGAAAGAGCTGGACGAGTCTTATGATGAGTAGGAAACTTGGAAAAAAATTACTCTGATCGTTCTGATAAAAAAAAGAACTCCCGTGCCTGTTGCAAGGGCCTCAGACTTCACACGGAGGTGTACATCAAGTTTCTTGAAGAGGTAGTGCTGCCCTGGGCCAAGAGGGTGGCTGTTGGAAGAACTTATGTCTTTTAACAGAACTGTGTATTATGTCATACGAGTAAGAGTATCCAGTCATAGCTGTTAGACAATTTCTGCGACCAGGTGATTTTCAAAAAAAAAAAAAATCTTCTATCAAAACATTTTCAAAACAGCTTTCTTAAGTTTGAGCTACTTGCCAAGACCTAAGTGACTTTACGTCTATACTCGTATAATATTCTTCTTAAACTACCATCTTATTACACTACGAAATTATAATAGAAAATGATCTTTCCCACCTTAGACTAAAGTTTGCTAGCCAACCAACCTTATATACTGCACTTCCACAAACGCCATAATGTCATCAAAGGTCTGATTTCTTTTTCGTTTCTTTCTGATTTCTTGCACTTTTTTTTCTCGCCCCGTCGAACGTCCTGAATATACTGGTACTGCGTCTAGAAGTTAAAAAGTATCGCACTATTCATGTTCTTTTACATGCTGGTTATATAAACTCAGCCGTCCTGGGTAAGACGATAAACTACATCCAGCAGCAAGGTCTCTGATCAGGAGGTTTTGAGGAACGTGGAACCACCTCCCAATTGCTGATGTTCCCAGGTCCACCCTGACCGGGGGTGGTAGCACCTGTTAGGGTCCCAGCTATGGACAAATACTTCACTATTACGAGAAATACTTTTTTGAAAAAAATATTACCAGTAATACAATTATGAAGGCAAAATATTACGAAAAACAGATTTTTGGCAAAACAAAATATTACCAGCAATAAAATTTTTTGTCGGCATTAAATAACCCATTGAGGTTGATATGCCGTAAAACAAAATAAAACAAACAATACATATTCTATTCACACGAGTCTATCCTAAAAATGTTATCGGCATTAAATAACCTCATTGAAGTTGATATGCCGTAAAACAAAATAAACCAAAACAATTTAAACCAAAGAATACATATTCCATTCATACGAATCTATCCTAAAAATGTTGTCGGCATTTTATAACCTATTGGGTTTGATATGTCGTAAAACAAAATAAACCAAACCAAACCATAAACCCAGTCTTGAATATCGTGATTGGCTATCCAACTATCTTTCTTTTGATTTCCGACAATGTGAAACTTTGAAAATAATAATCTTTGGATAGGTATCTTTGAGATTCAAAAAGGGTTAATTATTTTACTTACTACTAGAGATAAATAGTAAACTTTCAATAAAAAAAAAGTATTTTAATGTTCATTTTAACATAATATCTTTTAATTGCTGTTTCTCCGAGGTTCATCTTGACGCAATGTAATAGCACCTGTTAGCGTTCCAGCTATGGCCAAATACTCAACCTCAAAACAAAAGCAAAACACTATGAAAGTATAAAAATACTTCTTGTAATAAAAATACCAGCAATATATTTTCATATTAAAAATGACCAACAGCAAATATTTATAGTAAAATGTCCAACAATACAATTCTAAATCAAAAAGGCCAAAATATTTTATAGTAGAATTACCAACAATACATTTTATAACAAAATGACAAGTAATACCTTTTATGTGTAGTTGACGGCATAGAATTGCGTTCAAAATATTTAGATTTCACCATTGAATAACACATAGAGATTGATATGCATCTAATTAAAATCAACCAGACAAAAACCTTTCTCTTTAATATTTATAGAGAATGGCTTCAAAATATATAGATGAATCCATATGATTGTGTTTAAGATATTCGATTTCGGCATTAAATAACCCATTATGGTTGATATGCCGCGAAAAAAAATAAGCCAAACAACCAACATGAAATAACTTTTTCATGGCATTAATCCATATAATATCTTAAATCAAACTGTATTCCAAAATATAACTACAAGAAAAATACAACATAGAAGACACTCTTCAGCGCCTCTAGTAATTATGTCCACACGAACATTGTATACATCAAAGCTGAGTATCATCTCTCATGTATACAGTTGTGAAAGTAAAATGATATATCATATTTTTATTACTATCAAGCCATGAAGAAAATCAAATTTCAGCATTAAATGACCCATAAGGTGTTGATATGCCGTTAAACAAACAAATCAATCAATTCATTCATTTACCCATGTAAAGACTTATAAAAGTCATTACATGGGTCAATGAATGAAACTCACTGGAGTATTAATAGAAGAATATAATATTATCTTGTAAGGGTTTGTTTTACATGGGTAGCCTTGTGGATGACTCGGCATGTTGTAATAGTTAGAAAGCTTATCTTGTTAGATTATTTACAACTGAATAATGATTACAATCCTACACTATGTGCCCCATACTTTCGACCTTGTGCCACACCGGAGCTACGCTTGGGAAATTGCTATAACTTTACCAGGGGCCCCTCGAGGTGGTGTAATGGTTAACAAGTTTGCCTCGCTAGAACATTTATGACTTAGTAGTGGTTTCTATCCTCACTATGTGTCCAATACTTTCGGCTTTGTGCCACATCTAAGCTACGCTTGGAAAATCACTTTTCGGGGCAGTGTTATAGTTAACGAGCTTGTCTCGCTAGAACATTTACGACTGTGTAATGATTTCGATCCTCACACATGTGCCCCATACTTTCGACCTTGTGCCACATCTAAGCTACGCTTGGAAAATCACTAACTGGTAGCCTTGTGCCAGACTAAGGTAAACTCAGTAAATATTGATAAATAGGATTTTTATGGTGCAATGCCTAACACTCTTTGCTCATAATTCTGTTGCTGTAAAAAGTTTGATCCGTACTGTGCGATCCATATTTAGAGACTTGTGTCAGACTCTTTCAGACTTAGAATGTAGGTAAATTTTCAAAGATTTTGCAGGCCGCGATTGAAACAGAAATATTCTCAGAGATATAATAAAGAACTGATGCTCAATTGCAAAGCGAGTCTGGACATTATGATTCGATTGAGTTGAATCAGTGAGAACTCAATTAACTTGTGAAAACGGTGGAAAGGATAAATATAGGTGATATAAAAAGAATTTGTAGTATGAAATAAAACCAGCACCAACTTGATTCCTGCTTTCACTTCTTTACTCGTCTATGCTACCATGTTCACCAAACCTAACACTTAGCGTACGAAAATACATATTTAAATTATTTTTTATACCTATAGGAATTATGAAAATTGCTCGCACGTGTCTGGTACTCAAAATAACTAAAGTCTTCTTGTGTTAAATATATTTGTACTTTTTTTTTTCAAAAGATATTGAGTTCTTGGCAATTCTAAGTTCTACAACTTAAAACGTACTGCCTGCCTGTCGATATATATATATATAATTCAACTGATACCGTTGTGAAATGGGAGAGCCAAGTTCAAAGCCAATGCTAGTCTCTTCTATTAATTTTCGTACGAGTACTTCATGAATTACGTCTTTTATGAGTTAATTGGATGTGTGGATGGTGTAATGGATAGCCCGCTCGGGGTGAGAAATCGAGAGCCGAGTTCGAATTCTTCTTGAGTTCGTTGAAATCATTTCAGCGCAAAACTCTTGAGAAAAGATATGACATCCATTTCGTCTTAACAGTGTTATTTTAGTGTTACATTTTCTGTCCTTTTTCAAAAAAAAGTTGCCAGTTATTTAAATTTTCGAACCTGCCTGATTTTGTGTCTGGAAAAAAATTATCTAAAAATCGTTAATACAATACTCACTCGCCAAAAAAAAAGTTCTATTCTTGCAATCCAAAAGAAATGTTTAAGCTTTAAATAACCTATAAAAGGTTGCTAAACAGTAAAAAATCAAATCAATCATCACAAATTGGCACTAGACGATGCAAATTCAGATATATATTTTGACTTGAGTGGTGGTTATAAATTTAAACTCGCTTGACCTTTACTACTGTAGCGA